CTTGACACAACTGTGGGAAGCATTGGAGTCAACATGGTCCAGCATCCCTGTTGGACGCTTTCTACCTTGGTAGAGTCCATGCCCTGGCGAATTGAGGCTGTTATGAGGGCAAAAGGAGGTGTAACTCAATATTAGGAAGGTGTTCTTCATGTTTTGTACACTCCGTTTATATTGGAGCAGTAGAACTAAATCGGCTAAGATAACTTCAATGACTTTTCAAGGACCAAATAGCCTAGAGGAAATGTCTGATTTTCAAGGTAGGCTATTCTATGATGATTGTAAATACCTGGATTGCATGCACATTCTTGCCTTAGCGTTTACTGGTATTTATAACTTTAAAACATATTTCCTACTACTTCCCTACCAATACCACAGCCAATCTTCTGTAAACTGCTCCATGCAACAACCAGCTGTTTGAGAGCTGCTCTCTCTCTGCCCGACAGATTATAATCTATAACCATGTGTGAAGTGCAGGTGTGATAAATAATCAACATAACGAACAAACAGCTTCGGGAACATCTGTTTTTTTAACCAATATATAGACTAGATTAAAAATAGCATTATTTCAATATTTTCCCACTGACGGGGGTGATCAACTGGCCCGGAGGGTTTCTAAAACCTCCCCACGCTAGCGGGCAGCACGGGTCGAGCCCTGACACACACAGACAGGGGCCTTCCCGTGCCATTGTTGCCTCTTCAGAAAGTTGGTATATTTTTTGCCAATTGCAAATTACTGTTTGAATAAATAAATAAAAGTAAATTGTGAACCAAAAACAAAAATCACTGGCACCCTTGTGACCAATTAAAAATATGTTGCACTGCTAAGTCAAACAGCAAATGTGACTGTCATGCATGGTTCGAACCCTGTCATGCTGCTGCTGCCTATTGAAATCACTGGCCACTTTAAGAAATGGAACACTAGTCACTTTAATAATGTTTACATATCTTGCATTACTCATCTCATACTGTATTCTATTATATTCTACTGTGTCTTAGTCCATGCTGCTCTGTCATTGCTCGTCCATACATTAATATATTCTTAATTCCATTCCTTACTTAGATTTGTGTGTATTGGGTAAATGTTGTGAAATTGTTAGATATTACCTGTTAGATTTTACTGCACTGTCGGAGCTAGAAGCACAAGCATTTCGCTACACCCACAATAACATCTACTAAACACGTGTATGTGACCAATAACATTTGATAAAACTACAAAAAAACATAGCCCAAAGTGATATTCATAGCCTATCAAATGGAGACAGACACACTCAGTGGACAGTTTATTAGGTACACACATCTAGTACCGGTACGGACCCCCTTTGCCTCCAGAACAGCCTGAATTAGTCGGGGAATGGAAACGTTGCTAGGAAAACATTCCCCAAACCATTACACCACCGCCACCAGCCTGTACCGTTGACACCAGGCAGGATGGGGCCATGGACTCATGCTGCTTACACCAAATCCTGACTCAGCCATCAGCATGACTCAACAGGAAATCGGGATTCGTCGGACCAGGCAATGTTTTTCCACTCTTCAAATTGTCCAGTGTTGGTGATCGCATGCCCACTGTAGCCGCCTCTTATTTTTAGCAGATAGTGGAGTGGAACCTGGTGTGGTCGTCTTCTGCAAAAGCCCATCTTTGACAAGGACCAACGATTTGCGTGCTCCGAGATGCTGTTCTGCACACCACTGTTTTCCTGCACAGTTATTTGCCTGTTTGTGGCCCGCCGGTTAGCTTGCACAATTCTTGCCATTCTCTTTCAACCTCTCATCAACAAGCTGTTTTCGCCCATAGGACTGCCGCTGATTGAATGCTTTTTGTTTGTCGCACCATTCTCGGTAAACCCTAGACCAGGGGTATTAAACTCTTACCCTACGAGGTCCGGAGCCTGCTGGTTCTGTTCTACCTGATAATGAATTGTACACACCTGGTGTCCGAGGTCTAATTCAGTCTGTGATTAGAGGGGAACAATGAAAATCTGCAGTGCAACTGGCTTCGAGGTCCAGAGTTGAGTTTGAGGGCCCTAGACACGGTTGTGCGTGAAAAGCCCAGGAGGCGGGCCGTTTCTGAGATCCTGGAACCGGTGCGCCTGGCACCGATGATCATACCACGCACGAAGTCGCTTAGGTCACTTGTTTTGCCCATTCTAATGTTCAATCGAACAGTAACTGATTGCCTCGATGCCTGTCTGCCTGCTTTATATAGCAAGCCATGGCCACGTGACTCACTGTCTGTAGGAGCTAACCATTTTCGTGAAAGGGGAGCCACTGAGTGTATAAGGCCCATGCATCCGACATTTTGCTCTCTGTATAGCCTACATTCCTCTCTTGCGTTCTGTATATAACATTTACTCAAATAGACTAGCAAATAGGAATATGCAACTTAGTTGGAATGTCACTCGTGTGCTGCCTGACTCAGTTCTTTACTGCGCAGCGCCAGTCAAGTTCAAATATGCTAAACCAATGTCTGTCACATCAAGATGTCGTCACCATCTATTATGGCTGTCAATCAACATCGTTACTAAGTGAAATTACTGCACTCTGGCTTTGTTCCTTTGTGTTCTGACTGCAGTTACAACGGTTTGCCTTGGTATTATATCAGGCTCCGAGTTCAAAAATCAAAGCCATTCTTCTCAGTTTTACAGTTTGCATAGTTACTGCTCTTTGCCTTTGTAGGGCAGAGTAGTAGTCACATTTTTGGGGGATTTAGAGATATCTATTATTTTGAACGCTAGAAAGTCAACAAAAGTATTTAATATATTGTAAAGATCAATAAATACAATATATATTTTTTACACCTATAATATGTCCCTAAGTTTTATGTCATTGGTGTTCCCACCTTGAAAATCACTTATTACAAAGATACACAGTACCAGTCAAAGGTTTGGACACACCTACTCATTCAATGACATTTCTTTATTTTTACATTGTAGAATAATAGTGAAGACATCAAAACTATGAAATAACACATATGTAATCATATAGTAACCAAAAAAGTGTTAAACAAATTAAAATATATTTTATATTTGAGATTCTTCAAATAGCCACCCTTTGCCTTGATGACAGCTTTGCACACTCTTGGCATTCTCTCAACCATTCATGAGGTAGTCACCTGGAATGCATTTCAATTAACAGGTATGCCTTGTTAAAAGTTAATTTGTGGAATTTCTTTCCTTCTTAAATGCGTTTGAGCCAATCAGTTGTGTTGTGAGAAGGTAGGGGAGGTGTATATTTGATAAAAGACCAAGTCCATATTATGGAAAGAACAGCTCAAATAAGCAAAGAGAAACGACAGTCCATCATTACTTTAAGATATGAAGGTCAGTCAATAGACATGAAGGTCAGGATAAGTTCATTAGAGTTACCAGCCTCAGAAATTGCAGCCCAAATAAGTTATTCACAGAGTTCAAGTAACAGACACATCTCAACATCAACTCTTTAGAGGAGACTGCGTGAATCAGGCCTTCATGGTCGAATTGCTGCAAAGAAACCACTACTAAAGGACACCAATAATAAGAAGAGACCTGCTTGGGCCAAGAAACACGAGCAATGGACATTAGACCGGTGGAAATCTGTCCTTTGGTCTGATGAGTCCAAATGTGAGATTTTTTGGTTCCAACCACTGTGTCTTTGTGAGAAGCAGAGTAGGTGAACGGATGATCTCCGCTTGTGTAGTTCACACCGTGAAGCATAGAAGAAGTGGTGTGATGGTGTGGGGGTGCTTTGCTGGTGACACTGTCTGTGATTTATTTAGAATTCAAGGCACACTTAACCAGCATGGATACCACAGCATTCTGCAGCGATACGCCATCCCATCTGGTTTGGGCTTAGTGGGACTATCATTTGTTTTTCAACAGGACAATGACCCAACACACCTCCAGGCTGTGTAAGAGCTATTTGACCAAGAAGGAGAGTGATGGAGTGCTGCATCAGATGACCTGGCCTCCACAATCACCCGACCTCAACCCAATTGAGATGGTTTGGGATGAGTTGGACCGCAGAGTGAAGGAAAAGCAGCCAACAAGTGCTCAGCATATGTGAGAACTCCTTCAAGACTGTTGGAAAAGCATTCCAGGTGAAGCTGGTTGAGAGAATGCCAAGAGTGTGCAAAGCTGTCATCAAGGCAAAGGGGGGCTACTTTGAAGAATCTCTAATATAAAATATATTTTGTTTAACACTTTTTTGGTTACTACATGATTCAATATGTGTTATTTCATAGTTTTGATGTCTTCACTATTATTCTACAATGTAGAAAATAGTTAAAATAAAGAAAAACCCTTGAATGAGTAGGTGTGTCCAAACTTTTGACTGGTACTGTAAGGGCCTAGAGCATTCCCTCCAGTGGCAAACTTATCGGAGGAGGGGTATATTTGAAAGAAGATTATTAGCTAATCATGTCATACATTTTAGGATTATTTGGTGTGTCTAAATACAAAGTGTCATTGGTGTTCCTCAATTTAAATGAAGGGAAATTAAATGACCAATGATCAATCATATCACTTCAGTAAATTACTTTCAAAGGGTTAATGACCTTAGCTTTGAGCATCTGTGACCACCATTTTTGAAAATCCTTAATTACCTAAAATGTGTCTCTGGTGTTACTACTCCTACTGGTGGCACAATGATATAATAATGGTAAAAAAGATATATTGAAAGTCATTAAGCTACCATATTAGTTGATTTAGAATGGTAAGATATACCAAATCAATTTATATACAACAAATCTAGAAAAACATTTTCCAAAATGCCATGCCCAAATGCCACCACAATTCAAGAACAACCCATATGCCTTGTGTGAACAACTACTGTACTGAGATATTTTGGTTAAAAGGAAAACTAACTAGTAAAAGGCATAAGCTGACGAAAATTGTTGTATAGAGGTGCTGATTAAGGGAGAGTAAACTATAAAAAGAAAAAGCTGCACACTAATTATGCTCCCAAACATTTAATTAGTATAGCAACCAATGTTTCGGCACGCCTAGAAGAAAACTGAGCCATACTTACTTTATCTTGAGGGAGACTCCCTGAGGTACTCCTACACTGACGGTCGCCCCCAGGACACTGTGCCGACTGATCTTCCTCTCTGCACCATACTCCACCACTGTCCCAAAAAAGCCAGATCTACAAGACAATGACAGAGACAGTCAGCAAGTCTTCCCATATTGTCACTGGCCTGACCTGATGATTTTTAATAGAGGTTTCAGTTCTAAGATTCAATGGCCTTCATTTACCAAAACGAACAAAGGCTAAAATCTTATCATGAAGTGGACATACTTGATTGAGCCCTTGACTTTGGTCTGGTCGTCGTCCTGGAACTTGTACTGGTAGCTCATCATCATGAAGGAGTGAGGGATCCCAAGCTGTGAGGGCCAACAAATACAGTTAGGAGAGGAAATAGAAAACACATCCGCAACAGACAGCAGTCCCTTCTTATACTACAATTGCTGTATATCATTATCCTATGCTGTGCTGACCTGAATGGCGAAGGTGAAGTGGCTGGTCTTGGTGTCCCTGATGATGCTGGTGTTCATGGAGGACTGGGTGCCCCAGCGCCATTGCAGGTAGCCCATGGTGTTCTTGTCCAGGTGCCGAGCCAGCACCGTGGTGCAACCAGGCCGCACGCCCCGGGACGAGAACTGGAGTCCACACTGAGCAGTCACAAAGCTGAAGAAAAACAACAGTCATTCCACACAGTGCCTTGCAGAGGTATTTATCTCCCTTGGCGTTTTTCCTATTTTGTTGCATTACATGTACTGGACATACACAAAATAGTCCAAATTGGTGAAGTGAAATGAAAAACATAACTTGTTTCAAAAACTACTAAAAAAATAAATAACGGAAAAGTGGTGCGTGCATGAGTATTCACCCCCTTTGCTATGAAGCCCCTAAATAAGATCTGGTGCAACCGATTACCTTCACAAGTCACATAATTAGTTAAATAAAATCCACCTGTGTGCAATCGAAGTGTCACATGATCTCAGTATACAGTGCTATGAAAAAGTATTTGCCCCCTTTCTAATTTTCTCTACTTTTGCATATTTGTGATACTGAATGTTATCAGATCTTCAACCAAAACCTAATATTAGATAAAGGGAACAAATAACACAACAATTACATATTTATTTCATAAACTAAGTTATGCAACACCCAATTCCCCTGTGTGAAAAAGTAATAACTGGTTGTGCCACCTTTAGCTGCAATGACTCCAACCAAATGCTTCCTGTAGTTGTTGATCAGTCTCTCACGTTGCTGTGGAGGAATTCTGGCCCACTCTTCCATGCAGAACTGCTTTAACTCAGTGACGTGTGGGTTTTCAAGCATGAACTGCTCGTTTCAAGTCCTGCCACAACATCTCAATTGGGATTAGGTCTGGACTTTGACTAGGCCATTCCAAAACTTCCAATTTGTTGCTTTTTAGCAATTTTCATGTAGACTTGATTGCGTGTCCCCAAGCCATCACACCACCACCACCACCATGCTTGACCTTTGGTATGATGTTCTTACTGTGGAATGCAGTGTTTGGTTTTCGCCAGGCATAATGGGACCCATCTGGTCCAAAAAGTTGACTAAAGTTTGCCAAAAAGCACCTGGATGATCATCAAGACTCTTGGAAGAACGTTCTATGGACAGATGATTCAAAAGTATAATTTTTTGGACGACATGGTTCTAGTAATGCCTGGCGAAAACCAAACTCTGCATTCCACAGTAAGAACATCATACCAAAGGTCAAGCATGGTGGTGGTGGTGTGATGGTTTGGGGATGCTTTGCTGCCTCAGGACCTGGATGACTTGCCTTAATAGAAGGAACCATGAATTCTGCTCGGTATCAGAGAATTCTACAGGAGAATGTCAGACCATCCGTCTGTGAGCTGAAGCTGAAGCGCAGCTGGGTCATGCAGCAAGACAATGATCCAAAACACACAATCAAGTCTACATGAAAATTGCTAAAAAGCAACAAATTGGAAGTTTTGGAATGGCCTAGTCAAAGTCCAGACCTAATCCCAATTGAGATGTTGTGGCAGGACTTGAAACGAGCAGCTCATGCTTGAAAACCCACACATCACTGAGTTAAAGCAGTTCTGCATGGAAGAGTGGGCCAAAATTCCTCCACAGCGACGTGAGAGACTGATCAACAACTACAGAAAGCATTTGGTTGGAGTCATTGCAGCTAAAGGTGGCACAACCAGTTATTGAGTGTAAGGGGGCAATTACTTTTTCACACAGGGGAATTGGGTGTTGCATAACTTTGTTTATGAAATAAATATGTAATTGTTGTGTTATTTGTTCACTTATGTTCCCTTTATCTAATATTAGGTTTTGGTTGAAGATCTGAAAACATTCAGTATCACAAATTTGCAAAAGTAGAGAAAATTAGAAAGGGGGCAAATACTTTTTCATTGCACTGTATATACACCTGTTCTGAAAGGCCCCAGAGTCTGCAACACCACTAAGCAAGGGGCACCACCAAGCAAGCGGCACCATGAAGACCAAGGAGCGGCAGGTAGCTTAGTGGGTAAGAGCGTTGTGCCAGTAACCGAAAGGTCGCTGGTTCTAATCCCCGAGCCGACTAGGTGAAAAATCTGTTGATGTGCCCTTAAGCAAGGCACTTAACCCTAATTGCTCCTGTAAGTCGGTCTGGATAAGAGCGTCTGCTAAATGACTAAAATGTAAAATTTAAATGTAAGGAGCTCTCCAAACAGGTCAGGGACAAAGTTGAGGAGAAGTACAGCTCAGGGTTGGGTTATAAAAAAATATCCGAAACTTTGAACATCCCACAGAGCACCATTAAATCCATTATTAAAAAATTGAAAGAATATGGCACCACAACAAACCTGCCAAGAGAGGGCCGCTCACCAAAACTCACAGACCAGGCAAGGAGGGCATTAATCAGAGAGGCAACAAAGAGACCAAAGATAACCCTGAAGGAGCTGCAAAGCTCCACAGCGGAGATTGGAGTATCTGTCCATAGAAACACTTTAAGCCGTACACTCCACAGAGCTGGGCTTTACGGAAGAGTGGCCAGAAAAAAGCCATTGCTTAACGAAAAAAATAAGCAAACACGTTTAGTGTTCGCCAAAAGGCATGTGGGAGACTCCCCAAACATATGGAAGAAGGTACTCTGGTCAGATGAGACTAAATTTGAGCTTTTTGGCCATCAAGGAAAACGCTATGTCTGGCGCAAACCCATCACCCCGAGAACACTATGTTTTTCAATGGCAGGGACTGGGAAACTGGTCAGAATTGAAGGAATGATGGATGGCGCTAAATACAGGGAAGTTCTTGAGGGAAACCTGTTTTAGTCTTCCAGAGATTGAGACTGGGACGGAGGTTCACCTTCCAGCAGGACAATGACCCTAAGCATACTGCTAAAGCAACACTCGAATGGTTTCAGGGGAAACATTTAAATGTCTTGGAATGGCCTAGTCAAAGCCCAGACCTCAATCCAATTGAGAATCTGTGGATGACTTAAAGATTGCTGTACACCAGAGGAACCCATCCAACTTGAAGGAGCTGGAGCAGTTTTGCCTTGAAGAATTGGCAAAAATCCCAGTGGCTAGATGTGCCAAGCTTATAGAGACATACCCCAAGATACTTGAAGCTGTAATTGCTGCAAAAGATGGCTCTACAAAGTATTGACTTTGGCGGGGTGAATAGTTATGCACGCTCAAGTTCTGTTTTTTTGTCTTATTTCTTGTTTGTTTCACAATAAAAAATATGTTGCATCTTCAAAGTAGTAGGCATGTTGTGTAAATCAAATGATACAACCCCCCCCAAAATCCATTTTAATTCCAGGTTGTAAGGCAACAAAATAGGAAAAATGCCAAGGGGGGTGAATACTTTCGCAAGCCACTGTATGTCTTTTCTGATTCAAGTAAAGCCCAAACACAATGGGATGCAGCTTAACAGATTTCAAATGTCCTGGAATCTTGACTTACCAGCGAGCGGTGAGGTTGCGGAATATCTTCATTCCTAAGAGGGGCCCGTGTGTGTCTCCTGCCCCAAACTCTACCTGGGTAGGTACGCAAATATATAACCTCTCACATTGGACTACTCAGTGTAAAATAGAACACAAATGTGATAATTGTTTGTTTTATGTAGTGTATATGTGTGAGCATTTGAAAGCACTAGCCTACAGTGTGTGTGTGTGTGTGAGTGATATGTAGGTAGAAATTGTAAATGATTGAGTGGTTCCTGACCTCCCCCCATCCCTTAGCAGAAGTGACTCTTCGTAGTGCCAGGTTAATGTTTCCTCCTCCGTTTCCGTTGTGGGTTGATAGGGAGCCAGAGAGAACAGCTGTGTCTGTGGTGGTGAGGGGGGCCTGCAGTAGGTAACAAATAACAATACTCCTGATTATCCAATGTGATGGTCCATAAGCCATACTTTTACCCACTGTGACATTGCCCCATTTTGAAACACATTTCAAGCTTTTCTATTACCTCTATGGATTGTGATATGTGCATCTTGTTGATCTCAACATGTGAGAAGCCCCCTCCAGGCAAATCATCGTAATCCTCCTCATAGCGATCAAAGAGGTCTGTGGCATCTACACCCACACTGATCATCCCCTGAATGAGACACAGTCATATCAATAAATGATCATACTACAGCAGGGTTTCAGTCCTGTAGTCATTAATACATTAGCAACACACACAAACCTTGGGATTGGTCCTCTGCTGTAGCCGTCTCTCCTCCCTCTCTCTCTGCAAACGCTCAAACTCCTCTCGGATCTCTACTGGTGTTCTTTTTCTCTCCACCACCTGGAATCAGTATACCATTTGAGCCATTGCTGCCTGATGATCAGCGACACTTATTAGCTTGACAAAGAAAATATATAGTACTTCTTCCTGCCACAGTAGCCTATGTATGTTATAAATGCAAGCCTAAGAGAAACTGCTGGACTAACCTCCCATCCTTCAACATCCAGCCCTCTCTTGCCATAGATGTCATAGATGGCTCGTAACTGTGGGTCACTGAGGACTACAGGGAGAAACATGTAACTGATCAGTTTCAATGAACGCTACACATGTATACAATCCTGAGCAGAGACAATAATAGGCAAGTTGAGCTAAATGTTCAGCTGAAACAGAGCAAAACCATAATCGTAAATGACATGAAGTCACAGTTTAAGATTAATCTTACCCTTATAAGCTTGATGCACTAGGTTAAAGAGTTGTTCCGCCTGCCTCTTTAATTCAGGGTCTCTGTGCTTGTCTGGGTGGTAGAGCATGCACAGTCGCCTGTATGATCCCTTCAGCTCCTCCTGTGTCGCCTAATGGATGAACAGAAGAAAACGTGAGAACTTCAACTTACTTGTGAGAAAGTACAAGTTAGTTAATATGATTCCACTTACAGTTATGCAAAGTCACTAAGTTCAGTGCCGTGTTGCCTTGGCTTCTTTGACATTGCAAGTAGACATATACATCTTTACACCAAATGTTTCGACAGTGACGACACCTAACATTACATGTTGCACTTGAGGCCTAACTACGACATGTGGCAAGCCAAGCAGCTAGTCTTTGCTTGGCAGACTCAAACTTGCATGCATGGGAAAGCTGGCTCTTTATCTCGGCTACCCAGAACAAAACCTCTCGTGAGCAGTGACTTCCTGCCAGCTACTGGATTTGGTTCTAGTGGGGAGAGCTGGGATGTTTGGCTTCTGGTGCCAGGGCGCATCCTCTTTGGTAGCCGCACATTCTATAACAGAAGTTAGGCCAGCCACATTTTACCCAAAAGTCCGAAATCAATGATAAGCGAGGGTCAACTGACTCACTTAGCTAGCTAGCTTAGCTGGCTAGCAAAACCGGACGCCGCTTCAATTTGTTCCAGAAAACTTTGACAAATTCATCAAACCAACTATGAAAACACTTCTCAAAAACATCCACACAAACACATCCGAACAGGATCCAAACATGCACTACCTCTCTTCTGACATTAAGTAAAGAATAGTAATCATTGTTGTCGATTTCATCGTCTTCCAAGGCCGGCGCCATGTTTACAACCTTTCATCCCCACTTCCGCTCTGTCTGTCTCTGTGCAACAAATGGTGAAACACTACCACTGTTGTCACCTTGTGGACTGGATGTCTTTATCAAGCGCGCCTATAAACATTTTTGACAGCGTCAAAAACTAGCGCACCAGAAATATTAGAAAGAACGTTTAATCGTGCAAGTTAGGCTATATAAATCAATTTGATCCATAATGTGTCTCAAATGGGCGTTTTAGAACATGTCCTAGAGTTCACTAACAAAATAGTGCCTAGTCCTATGTGAAGGTGTTCAGTTAAAAATCGCAACAAAAAATATGTATTGCTATTTTTGTAGGCTATTTGGCAACTGCTTAAATAATTGGGTAGACCTAATGGGCGTAATGCATGACAGCTTGCTTTACATGACAGATTTGTGAAAACTCACACTTTGTCTGCCTGCCCTTGTTACAATGTTACAAAGTTGTTAAATGACTCATACATTACACAATTCCGTGTGATAATAAACTTGATTACAGCCAAATGAAATAATTGGGTAAAGAAAAATAGCTACTATATTCAGTGCATTCTGCACATTATGATTATTCTCACCCCCTTCAAATAAAATCGTGTGCTTTTTCCTTATTTTTCATCATTTTTTCGGAATAAAAATGTCAGTGTCTGTCTTGTACTTCTGAATAGTGACTTCAGGGCTTAGATTTTTGCTCAGTGGTATTTGCACAGTTTGCTATACTGCTGTGCAAGCGTGTAGATAGGGCGCTGCGCTGTGACATCATCTGCCTTCTTAATGGAGCTGTCTTTTCAGCACCCCTTCGTCTGGGCCCGTCTCTAGCAGAGCCACACATTAAGGTTGTAATTCAAGTGGTAGTGCTACAGAAAAAGGATGGTGCATGTCTATCAATTAGCCTATAAAACACTTGTATCTAAGAGCGTCTGCTAAATGACTAAAATGTAAATGTAAATGTGTTGCATACGCTAAATGGTTGACTTTATTGTATTTAGCCAAATCTTAGCAATATACATTTCAATCTGACATAGACTATGACTTCATGCCCAATTCCAAATATTGTCTCAACATAACAGTTCACCACATCAGATTTTGCTTCGAGTAGGCTGACCACTAATTGTTAGTCCATTCCAAAACCGATTGGCAGATTTCTGTTCGAGGTGTCCTTAAATAATACCTTTTGGCCAATGACGTGTTCTGGTAGTTGCATTGGATGGGTATTTTTCTTGATGTCACTTGTTATTCCAGAGTTTCACTGTCAGTCATTGCCACACAACCAATGGTAAGTTTGCATTGGCTGGACTCGCTGCTGCTCCTCGAGTCCCTCCTCGTGCTGTCCTCGCCGCGTGCACGCGCGTGGTACCCACGGTCGTGAGGAGGAGGAGGATGTTGCGCGCGAAGGGGAAATGGCTGCCGAAAACAAGCCGGAAGGTAAGAGAGATATAATGGGATTAATTTACCAGTATGACAACTATGTGATATACAATATTATAAAGTCAGACTATGGTGACATACATGATGAGAGACGTGGAGTTTTTAAAAGAATCGCACTCTTATATTTCTTCCGAAATACTAGGCAGCTAAACGTGGAGACAACATTACCTAGCCAGCTAATATCAGCTAGCTTTCTAGCCAGTAATGCCCATCATAGCCTACACATGATAAGAACAAGGAGACAAAATAGCCAGCATGATCAAAGAACCGATTTGAAGAATCGTATTTTATTCTAGATTCAGTTCAGTGAAGCAGCAAGCTAAGTAGTTTACAACCAAGCTAAGTTAATGACAACATGTCATTGCCATCGACCAACTTCTCTTATATTTATCCAGCTTTGAAAATTTGTTTTTATTATATAAATGCAAGCAAGCTATTACATAGGCTATTTGACATGGCACAGCTCTAAGTTAACATCCTATGTATCAAACGTTGGATTGTAGTTTAGTTTCTTTCAAATGCATTTCAGCCATCCTGTGACCATGTCTGGTTACAAAAATGCTTGCTTGCAAGTCCTGGACAATTTTTATTTATTTACTCGACCAGTCCACCCGTTCGTTGGTTGAGGCTCCTGTACTACTCTAATTTCAAGTGGGATTTTGAATGGTGTCGATGTTACAGAGACCATCATATTATATTATTGCTCAGTTAAAAGTGGTCTTATAATAATTTCGATGTTTGATATAGCTATCAAATATATTTTAAAGCTAGGATGTTGTACCATACACAGCTTTGGAATTGAATGCCACCAGATGTGTTTAAATAAAAAAATGAAGAGTAAGATTCTAAAGAGCGTTTTTATTTTCTCTTAGCCAGAAAGTGTAGTTTATCTTTCTTTATAAGGCATCATCTTCAAATTAATTTTTTACGTTCTAGTCTATTGAATATTTCAAGCTAATTTGGGTTGAAATGTGCATCTGGTCAGGATCCATATATTGATTTGAATATGTCATTTGAGTTAGAGATTAATACTTGAGTATTAGTTAAAAGTCGAAACTACAGAGGACAAGTACATAGCACATTGTCGCTCTAAAGATCAGCACCTTTGCATGAGACAGAAATGCATGCACTTGTATGAAATGGTTACATTTGACACTATTCATTTTTGAAGTTTGAGTATGACTAAAGTATATTAACCTGTATTAACTTTATTTTATTTTTTATATCAATGTTTGTGATTAGTATAACTATTTGAAGAGTTTCATTCCAAAATGCTATGTATCCATTTTCAGCAATGTTGGTAAATGAGCTTTTATTGTTTATAGAACTTATGAAAGAGATTAATGTTTTTTTTCACCATCTAATGATGGCATGGGGTTGTTCAATGACAGACATGTATTTGGTTTAAATCTATCACTTGACGGTTTCATTTCAAAGAGAAAAATAATCATGTTTTATTGCAAAACGCTATATATCACCCTTTACTCTCAGATAAATAACTAGTACTGATACATTTTGTGACATGTCAAATGTGACAAATAACTACATCTTTAATAAAGAACAGTACAATTTATACATTTGAGACATCAATATATGTAAAAATAAATAAAAATGAATCAATACAGTAATATGAGATATTTTGACATTTGAGTGATTTAGCAGATGCCCTTATCCAGAGCAACTTACAGTTAGTACAACCACATATCACAGTCCAATATACAGGATTAGAGCATTCCATTCCAGCTAAACAATGGATATATAGCATTTTTCAACAAAACAATTTTAATATACATCTAAAATCTATGAATAAAAAATACGCGAACAGTAATATTTTACACACAAATGAAGGTAAGCAATCATTTCTGATGAAAAAACACAAATGTGAAAAATGTGTGGATATAGCATTTTGGAACGAAACTCTTCATTTGTAGGCTACTGTAACATTAATAATAACATGTGAAAATACAATCTAGTGGACAGCCTGTTTAGTCGTATACAATATAGACTTATAGTACATGCATTTGAACTTCAGATTTGCATGGTTTTCATTAATGTTAGAGTTGTTCTGCGTAAATTTTTTTTTACCATGCAATCAACCTTGCTGCGTTTAGCCTATGATGCTCTTCATATTGTTTTCAAATACATTAAGTTGTATTGTTCATATGTAACCAGGTGGTGGCGACAAAGAGCGAGCTCATATTTTCTAATTACATTTACATTTTAGTCATTTAGCAGACGCTCTTATCCAGAGCGACTTACAGTTAGTGAGTGCATACATTTTCATACTGGCCCCCCGTGAGAAACGAACCCACAACCCTGGCGTTGCAAGCGCCATGCTCTACCAACTGAGCTACTATGTATTCCAGGAATCACTGGAATACATAGATAGAGTGCCTAAAACAGACATACAATAATTAATGTTCTGAAATGTCCCATATTGACACACTACTGCAGAGGTAACTGTTGACGTCAAGAAAATTAAGGGAGTGTTTTAAGTCAGGGTGGTCTTTGTTGCATCAGTAGTGAAGAAAATAGTTGACATCCTCTACTTTCTATTTGTGTGTGTGTCACAGCTTGAGCCTCCTCCAATGTAAAATAAAAGAATATAAACACATTTATGATCTAGGTTATACAATAAAGATAACACTGGTGGTGAATGTGTTCCTATACTCTAGTGTATGACCACAGTAACAAAGATGAGAGAGCTGAACTCTCCCGAGTGGCGCAGTGGTCTAAGGCACTAAGGCACTGCATCACAGTGCTAGCTGTGCCACTAGAGATCCTGGTTTGAATCCAGGCTCTGTCGTAGCCGGCTGCGACCGGGAGACCCATGGTGCGGCGCACAATTGGTCCAGGGTAGGGGAGGGAATGGCCGGCAGGGATGTAGCTCAGTTGGTAGACCATGGTGTTTGCAACGCCAGGGTTGTAGGTTCGATTCCCACGGGGGGCCAGTATGAAAAAATAATGTATGCACTCACTAACTGTAAGTCGCTCTGGATAAAAGCGTCTGCTAAATGACTAAAATGTAAGCTGAGCCTGTGATCTGATAGTGCCAACTTCTAAACAAAGCTCCACAGAGGGGTGGTATTGAGCTGTGGAAAGGATGACCATGCCAGGACATAGTTTACATTGATAGTGTAGTAGTAGGTCTAATGTATATGACACAATTAAAAAGGTAAGACACCTATCTCCGTAATAGTAATGACTTACTACTTTACAGTGGCATTTAGACCTAATGCATTACATTCTCACACACACAAGATGAATGTAACGTACAGACGGCTACCTTTGTTCATTTCTTTGCCACTCCATCACCAGGAGCTTTTACTGAAACTCCCATCGCTGAGCAGGTTGAGTTATTTTCGGTGTTCCTGTGAGGTTGGTCAGTGGAGGAGGAGGGGGAGGCTGGAGGCTGGAGGCTGGAGGAGGAGAGAGAGTGCTTCATACCTCCACATAAACACAATGTCCTCTCAGGCAATCTGGAGCATGGGAGCTTTTACATAGAATAGTCAGCCAGTCTTTATTTCTCCATCCAACATTCATTTAATATCAGTTATCCAATGATG